ATAATATACTAAAGAAATTCCAATCTGGTTTCCGCCAAGGCAACAGCACTGAAACTGAATTAACAAGAGTTGTAAATGGTATTCTGATAACAAATGATGCAGGGAATGCAACAGTGCTTCTGCTCCTATATTTTAATGCTGCCTTTGACACAGTTGACCATTGTATTTTGTTACACAGTCTTGAGTCTGAGGTTGGCCTATGTGGAATCATCCTTAAGTGGTTTACCACCTATTTAACTAACCGTTTTCACTATGTTCAAACATCTAATATTTGTACTGCTTTGTCACTGTCACCAGTCAAATTTGGGATACCACAGGGATCAGTGCTCGGAACAGTATTGTTCTCTCTGTACATGTTGTGGCGAGGTAGGATAATATGAAAGCATAATATGAACTTTCATTCCTATGCTGATGACACTCAAATATACATTTCATTTACACCTGATGATAACTTGTCAATTGTCACTTTAGCTAACTGCAATGAAGTATAATCTTGTGTGTGTGAAAACTTTTTGTCACTCAACTCTGATAAAACTGAGAGACTGTTGTTTGGAGGCAACAGTGCGGATAGGAGTGCTATAACCTCAGCACTCAACTCTGAGGGTTTAAAATTATGCCTAAAAGATTCGGCACATAAGCTAGGCGTCATCTTGAACGCAATGCTCTCATTTAACTCTCATGTTAATGCAATATCAAAGGCGTGCTTCTTACAGTTAAGAAACATTGCAAAACTAAGGTATTTTCTTTCCACTCAAGACACAGCAGCATCGAGAATTGTTACCAGGAGTAGAAACTACGACCACATAACACCTATACTTACAGTAGCTGTCTCCATTGGCTTCCTGTTAGATTCAGGGCAGACTTCAAAATTCTTTAATTTACTTATATGGCTCTCAGAGGTCAGGCAGCTGTCTATTTAATGGAGCTGACTAATGTATACAATCCAAGTTGCCCACTTAGATCACAGAACGCAGGTCTTCTTCTTATTCCACATATTAATAAAAAAACTGCCGATGGTAAAGTCTTTAGCTACAGGGCTAGTTTATGGAATAGTCTGCCAGCCTATGTACGGGATGCTGAGTCAATCTCAGGATTTAAATCCAGCCTGAAAACATATCACTTCAGCCTAGCCTACTCACACCTTACATCATAGCTCGTTGCAACTATGGCTGCTGTATGGGCCATTGTGTGCTTCAGTGTTGGCGTTCCAGGTAGATACATCTGTTCTGACTAAATTATCCTATTCTCCTCCGCACATGTCCGGATGGTGACCAAGCTGGGCACCATCTGAGTTAAATGCTTCATCGCTGCCATGGATCCAAGAGGGACATCGCGAATATACCTATCGTTTAGGAGGATTTGATGGTCTACAGAGATCTGCATGGAAGACTGGCACACAGAAGGACATGATGGAGACCTAATACTCTACATTTAGTACTTTTATTAGAATTGTATAATCTTAGCATGCCCAGAGGGGGTTGGGCAGCGAGTTGACCTTGGACCCCTAGAGGTTTTTTTTTCTCCATACAGAGGAGTTTTTGGTTCCTCTCCTCTGTTGTTTTCTGGCTTGTTTTCTGCAATGTCATGTATTGTCACACAGCTTTGTTAAGTGCCTTAGGGGAACCTTGTTGTGAAAGGCACTATATTAAAATAAATTGAAATTGAAATAGCTGATCATCTCACCTGCACTCTGCCTCTGTCTGCTTAGAGCCATCTGTACACTTGAAAAGCTTGCCCTGTGGATTAAAGAGGTGTAGTCAGTATATAACTGTTCTTACAGGGTGTTGGAGCTCTATGTAGAACTAATGGCTTTTCCATGTGTGAATATATTCAAGATTTATTATCTCCTGAGAAATATTTGTTTTACTGGAGATTCAAACAGTAATACAGCACTTTCACCATGCACTTCTCAAATGCTGTTAGCTTTCTTTAGAACTCTAAGTTTGTTAAGTGCATTGATCTGATTTACCCTAATGATTTTGCTACATACTGTATTTTACTATTTTACCCAGTGTATTACAATATACAGAACTGTTGTTATCAAGCCAACAGATAAAACAGTTTGCTAAGACACTTTCAATAGATGATTTGTAGAAAAGGGCTAAAATAGTTCTGTCCACCTTTTGGACCCCCTCTTCTGGCCTTTTTTTTATAAATGGTCTCACAAGACGTGCCCCATCTTACACTTTTATCTGTGATCAGACCCAGATACTTGTAATTACCATCAATTTCTATAGTCTGACCATTTATTTTACTAGCGACTACATTTGTCTTAAAATCAACGATTATTTCATTTTCAAACCATTTTACTCCAAAAAGAACTCATTGAACCATGTAAAAACATAACTAAGAATGGGCTCAGAATAATATCATGAGATCAAGCTGACTGAGGTTGTGTCATCAGCAAACTTTTGTGCTCTAATTGTCTTTAGTGTATAAAATGTATAATAAAGGGAATAGAGTATGTACTGTACAGTATATCAGATACCATAATGACCTGTTGAGACCTGTTTGATAAAAAAATTTAACACCTGTCTAATCAATTTACCATTTCATTTTAAATTCTTGAGAATTTCTGTGCCAATAAGAGTGGTTATAAACAAATACATTTTTAACTGACTTTATGTTAACAACATGCTTCTTGTTCAGGATGTTGAACAACCATGATTAACAAGGTTTTACATTGTCTGTGTCTAACACATTGCATTGTCTAAGGTGCTCCATTATCTATTCCTTTCTTTCCCTGTCCATCCATGTTGTCGATGCTGACTACTTGGGAACTGGGAGATGGATAAGAGTTGGCTGCATTGTTTTCTCCTGTTCCAAAAGTCTTATGGGAATCAATTAAGCCTCTGCAAAAGCCTCAGATGTTTCTTTTTCTTGTATCAATTCCTTGCTGTATATTTGCGACTAGAAAACCTACCTTGAATAGCTGGACACCAATGCAGGCAAACATAAACTGCAGCAAAGTGGTGACAATGACAATGTTCCCAATGGTCCTTATCGCCACAAACACACACTGGACCACATGCTGAAAAAGCAGCACAGAATACAGGAGTGATGAATAAATAGTTGTGAGGCATAATAGAAGCAAGTCTGTGGAAATAAGAATTTTAAGCCACCAGGCAATTGAAAATGTGTCACATACTGTAAAAGCAGCTTTCTGTGCGCTAAAAACTTACAGGTAGTTGTATTTCTGCCAAAATTAAAGTCCAGTAGTTTTCTTATTTCAACGTCTGTGTTGAAGATTTGACGTAGCCCAGCATCTAATCATTTTTTACTAAAATTAACTTTTTTTCAATTAAGGGTTTTGTATGACTAAGTACCATACAAAGTCTTCATTTTGCCAAATTGGAAAGGGCTCTCCAGGTGTAGAAGGCTCCTGGGATGTCTATTAAATATTTGTGAATAATTAAGCTATTAGCAACCAAACGAGCTGATGGGCTGAGTACTGACCTTTCATTTATAACCTTTCATACTGTATGTCCTTATGCAGGATAGGATATCAAAATTATCTGATTGTTTCCCTCTAAATCTCTCCACTAATTTATCTCATTCTTGAAATGGTTGGGTGTTCCAACAAAGGCTTTTAAACTGGATAATTTAATAGTTGTTCTCATTTCAAAGTTCTCATTTCTCAAACCCAGATGGAAACACAACATTATTATGATAATGAACAGGCCATTCAAATAGATCAGGGTTTGAGGCACCCTAAACTACTAACTACTAAATAACTACTGCCTATACATCTACTTTATGAGGCTGGGTGGAGTGGTCAGATCCTTTCTCTTGACTTCGATTGGGCACCTTTTCCTCCTTCTTTCTACCTTATAACCTCGTATTTTATGCTTTTTATTACTTATTTTCAAGATAAATTTAACAGGGAGCACAGTGGATTTTTGTGTGTTAACCACTTTGGGATTGAATTTGAATCTTTTTCTAATTCCCTTTTCTGTTTGTTTTAAGCAAACTATAGGTGAATGAACCCCTTAAATATCTCCATGGGTCATGCTTAGTTCTGTGCCTTCTACATTAGCAGAGACAAGGTAGTAAAAACTACCATTCTCACAGTTTGGTGGAGAAGTGTCCAGGCTGACATCATTACACCATACCAACCTTCAGGCCCTTGGCTCGATTAATAGCCCTCAGTGGTCTCAGTACTCTCAGCACCCTCAGAATTTTCACAACATTAATGGCACTTGATCTGCAGACAAAACAAGAAAGCATTGTCTGTCCAATGTTCATAAAAACTCAGAGATTTCCACAGATAACAATAATGCTTGCATGGTGTGGTTGGCAAATTTCAGTATTAAGGGACACCATTTTATAAAAAAATAGGATTTGGTTCTCTGACCATGATTCTGTATTCACTCAGGAGGGACAAGGAAGCAGACCTGCTCCTCTGACACACCCACCTGCAGAACCATCTGTCAGCAGAAATGATTGTTTTATGGAGAAGCTTTGTAATCCCAACCACTATTCTATTCACTGAATCACAGAGGGGATGAGGGACACACTGACAGCCTCCAAGTGGTGCAAAATTAATTGCATACTTCCACTTGGGGAGTCTTTATCAGACAACATTTTGTTGTCTTAATAACAGCCTGATTTGTTATTACCTTTAAGGTGGTGGGGCCAGTAAAGACCTAATTGTCTAAAAATAGTCTAAAACTAAAAACACATATTCAATAATTTTGCAAATGAAAATGGGTCTGGAACAACAGCCCAGTTGATACTCTGAGATCTCCCGAGAAGAAGCTGAATGCTGGATCAATAAGATGCTTACTCAAATCTGCAAAATGGTTCAAATGGGTTCACCTCCTCTTGCAGTATTTATTACCCTTCTTATGTTCTTATTTCTGGAGGGTTATCCACAAGCCCTTAAGTAAAAATGCAAGTATGGCATGTTTTAAATAAAAAGGAAGTTTAAATGTGAGATGTCTATTTTACTGGGGGACTAAGTGTTTTAAAAGGCTTTATTTTATTTATTCATTCAGCACCTGAAGTTAATTAATAAATTAATTAATAAACTGAGTTTGGGAGTACCATGCTAACTTAAAAACTGAAGTGTTATTAGGTAACGAATTTTATTTGAACAAATGATTGTCCTATAATATTATAATTGCACATATTGTAAACAACTCCACATCAGAAATCTTAAAAAATACATATATTTTAAGTATATAAAGTATTTTGTACCAAAAATTAAGCGTGTAGAAAAAAACAATACACCACCTGGCTATTTAATTCCTATTTAATTCACGATTGTTTCTACAGTGAATCTGTTTCATTTTGATTCAATGGCAACACATTCATTTGGCAGACTAATTTCTCATGAAATTATTATTTTTTTCCTCCGATCTTAACCGCATTAAACCTGAATAGTTGAGTGGAGACTCACCGAATAAAAAAAGAGATGAGGGATACACCGACAACCACCAAGTCCAGGATATTAAAGTAATTCCGACAGAAGGACCCCTTGTGAAGGAAGGCTCCATAGGCTGTCATCTGTAAAAAAACATACAAGTTATTAGTTATTAGAAATTAGTCCTCAATATTATACTGTTTTAGTATTTTTAGCCAATTTTAGCCAATTGTTCCACTACAAATATCAATGGGCATATTGTGGTTGTGAAAGGGCCATGTCATTGAGCAATAAGACAATCTTCATGTTTTCTCATAACTACTATATTTAGACACTTTGGTGTAAAGGTACTCTATAATATTCTACCTCTGCACTCTACAGTAATATTTAAAACACTGTTACTGAACAGAATGTTGCTCTCCCATGAAGACTGTCCTCCTTACTAGCAGTAGTGAATTGGAAACATTATCACCAAGCCCATTAACATGAATCCTAAGAGCTAATAAAATGAATTGTTCACAGGGGTATCTTTTAACCAAAATACTGTACATACTGTATGGAGAACAGTGTTGGCCAGAGAAGAGCAACCACACATTTAACTGATAGATTTCAAGAACTGAACCTTTATAATCTTGAAAATGGTAGACTATTATCCCTGTACAGTATATGCATTGCCTGGGGTACACAACACGTGTCTACTGTAAGTAGTAAAATCTAATTAACAATGTAAAAATTGTTGTTAATAATTGCACATTAACACACTGGGAGAGGCTTGCTGCCCAGTAATCACAATAGAGATTCTTGTCTGGATCACATTCCCCAGAATGCTATGAGGAATGAGCTGCTGCCCTCAGTCACCAAAGACAATTGGTCTGGTGACTGAGGGCAGCAGCTCTGACCGACCAAAGGAACCTATTATCTGCCATCTGGGGACAGAAGGCAGAACTTCTGCTGCACCAGAAGGGGTGAGGGAAGGAAGCAACAAACTGAACAAGCAAGTGGAACCGAGGAATTCTGTTTTGAGAATTTTAAATGTTTTTGAAACGTTTGAGGGGGGAAACTGTGTGGTTTGGATGCTTAGCAAATAGTTAGGGACTGTTTTTGTGTGTTGTTTTAGAATTTGGTATCATATTATGAAGGGTTTTTTATTTTTTTTTTATATAAAGTTTTAAACAACAGTTTATTTCTGATTAGCCACTGCACATTGTAGCAGATCCTCCACTGTAGGCAGCGTGATCAGAAGGACCTACGTCTATATAACCATTCCTAATAGAAGAGACAGTAATTGGCTGAGGGCAGACAAATCGTTTAGTTTTAAACCTTCCCTTCTTGTTCTGATCTTTAACCATAGCTATTCCACTTTCCCAGTTTAGGATGTTTTATTTGACTTGAAACTGGAGGATCGTGTTTGGTCAGGGACAATTATCAGACTCATCATATTAAATGCACTTGACAAAACAACTGTAACCTTTCCCTGTGATATAAACTAATTGACTTTTATTCTCCTTTGGTTGCACACCTTTAACATGTTTGTCTCACTCAAGGCCTGATTGGTCCACTCCTGGAGGTTTAGATAATCTCAGTTGTCCACTGTTCTCTTTTGTAAAGACAAATCATCTTACCTACAGGTGTCGCTGATTTGCTCAACTATCTCGAGCAGAATGTGTTCTTATTCCTTTCTTTAATGTTCAGACAGTACCCCAGCAGTCTAACCCAAGAACAACACTCCAGATCTGTGTGCTCTGTTACAATATTTATAAATATAGTGGCAATACCCATATTTAATATGTATTCAGTGTATTAGAGAACGAAGATGAAAGTAAAACATTGTTTACATGCAATGTAAAGTACTGTTAAGAGTTTATCTTTCTGCTATCTTACGACTTGATCTTTGGAATGACTCAAAGGCATTCAGGCAACAGAAAATTAATAGTGGTATAAATATAGAGGCACCTTGTTTAGGAATCAATGGATACAGGATCAATGTACTGTACAGTGGATTATCACTGTATAAAACAGTAAACATGCTTGGGACTCAAGAGGGAAATCTAACTCATGGCTGAGGTGGATATGGCAAATGCAAACACTGTATGCAAACGTGGTCTGGCAAACAAAAACGCCTACAGTTCTGGTTCCATGCATGGATAGAAACACTCAAACCAGGGACAATTTTGTAACTCGAGGAAAACCATGTGAACACAAGGAGAACATACAAATGCCATACTGTACGAATAACACCCCAGGAATCGAACTCAGGGCCGTAGCACTGTGAGGCAGCAATGTGAACCACTGCATCACTGTGCCACCCAGCATTAAAACATTACTTGTATGCATTAGGAGGCTTCACCTTTAAGATGATCTCAATGGTGAACAGTCCAGTGAAGACATAGTCTGCATAGCTCAGGATCTGAGAGAAGTAAAAAAGACCTACGTGAGAAGTTATTGGAATTTTGGTATTGGAGAGAGAGAAGTGATAAATCTGGTATTAGAAATACACTACAAAAAAGGAACACATACTACAGAGGAAAAATTGAAATTATTCTCTAGCTCCTACTGTCTCACTCTTCATATCCAAAACTTTCAAGAGTCTTGCCTTCTTCTTATCCAAATTTATAAGTGTCTACAAAGCCTTCAATACATCTGTCACCCTCACCACTATCCCTTCTTCTTTTCAAATGGACTACTGTCTGATACCCCAACAATGTAATCCTCTTCCAGTTCTACTCTACTGCCCATTTATTCTTTCTCACTTTTTTCAGACACTGATCTTTACTTTCTGCTCCACAATCACAAACTCAACACATGTACTATTGAGTTCTTCTTCACTCTTCAGTCCAAAGAAGCATTTTCTCCTACTATTACTTCCTACTTTTATTTCCTATCTGTTGAACAAATATGTTCTCTCTGGTTCTTTTCAATCCATCTTTAATAAAGCCCACCATCATGAGCATCCTTAAAATACCTACATGTACATTATATTCTTCCAAAACTGTCATCCTCTTTCCTTTCTCCTTGTTTTCTCCAAAACTATTGAGTCACCAATTTATTTTGCTGTCTTTTCCTTAATTTTGTCTTTGTTGTTAAAAACTATGATGAAAAGGATTGTAAGGAATGACCAAAAAAATCCTCTATGCACTTTGCTTTAGATTGAAATTAGAGAATTATTAAATCAAATTGAATTATACCACTCATTAATCCTACATCATCCATCCATTTTCTGACCGTATTTATCCAATACAGGGTCACTGGGGAGCTGGAGCCTTACCCAGCAAGCAATTGGTTAGCAGTATAGGATGAAAAGCAGTTAGCAGGAAACATCCTGGACAGGACGCCAGTCCATCACAGGGCAGAGACACACAGACACCAGGGTCAATTTTCCCAGATGTCAATTACCCTGCCAGTACTGTATGCCTTTGGATGTAGGGAGGAAACCAGAGCAAGGAGAGGAAACCTACGCGAAACTTGGGGAGAACTTAACAAAATCCATGTACTATAGACAGCATTTCAGCAATTAAGCCCAGGACACCAGTGCTGCAAGGCAGTAATGATAACCACCGAGTCACTTTGCCGCCTCCTTCATCATTAAATCCAAAATACAGTTTATAATGCTAAATATACGTAAAAATAGACATTAGGTAAAATACTTTTTCTACTGTATAAAGCACCTGAGTTCTATTCTGCATTTTACTTTTTGTACATGTTATATCAAAGGCAGTTAAAGAGCTGTGAAGAACTAATTATCTAGCCCAGTCACAGAAACAATTAAATTATTATGGTTGGGAAATACATTTTAAGATCTTACTATGGGCACACAGCTGTGAAGTCAGGGCTGCTTATTACTCTGCTGTTAAGATTAAAGTGTCATATTGTTATGTATTCATAATGGGAGTAATATATTCATAAGCATTCATAAAATCAATGCTCTTACCATGTTTCTAAAGGAATCATTTCGCACTGGATCTTCTGCAGCTAAAGAGATGCTGCTCAGCAGGATGAAAAAAAGGATGAGGTTCGTGAAGATGTTGTGGTTGACAATCTTGTGGCAGAGGACCCGGAATCTTTAAGATAGAAAACCAAATATGTACGCCCACTAAAAGATCACTCCGCATTTGCAGATATTTCAACTGACTTGTTAGCAGTCACTGTTATTAGTAAGTGTGAATGGTACCTTCATTTGAATGTTTGGAATAGCCCGTAGACGTTTAGATTTAGTTCAAATCAGGTGGTGGTGGAAGGCAGGGGGCCTACAGGGGTTCTTAATTTCCACAGATTACATCTGTACTGGTACCGGAGTACCAGCTCTATCTCTACATTGCAGAAGCCACAGATTATAAATGTGTCTCAGTGACCAGTGACTGTTGGATTAATGAGCAAACCAAGCCCATGCGCTCCTCACTTGTTGGTGTGGCTGAAGATGAAGAAGGCGCGGGCCTCGGGCATAGGGACAGCTTTCTCCTTCAGCTGCAGCTCTGACAGCGGGCGAGGGCGAGGACCTACTGGCATCTCGGGTTCCTCGTCTTCATCCTCCCCTGAGGAAGACAGGGTAGGTGAGGTCACCATAAAAAGAAATAAGAGGCAGTAATAATGTAGGGGCAAGGACTGGGACTGCATACTGCATATTGCAGCTGTGTTGCTTAATTAAGACTAAGATCTTTATTGAAAGCATACAATCCATAGCATAGCTCCAATGACAGATCTTAATAATTATGTGATCTGAATGAATCCAATAAGTCTTGGAAAAAAGAAAAAAGTTTTATACAAAGGTTTATACAGTAATTACATGTT